AAGTGTTAGCTGCTTTTAGCAAGGTTGGCATCTTCTGCTGGGAGCTTCACAGCTGTGGATGGCTCCTTGCTCATGGAGATGTGCCTTTCTTGGCTGGATCTAGGCAACGTCTCTTTGAGAATTTGCGCATGCTGCCTCATGCCCCTGGCGTCCAGATGCAGCCAATTCCTGAGGATGCTGTTCAGGAAGACAGTGGAGATGAAGAGGAAGAAGATCCTGAGAAACGCATTTCAAGTATGTGCTTGCCCAGGGGATGGTTGCGTTGCCTTGCTGGGAAACATGCTGTTCAGAGCCTGTGGGTGCCAAAGATGAATGGGATTGAGGATTAGGAAACTGGAGAGTCCAGGAGACTGACAGGCTTGATTCCAGAAGTTGCCTTCCAGAGTAAAAAAAACATGGTTTATATCCAGATTGGCCATTTACACCTGGCAGTCAGACTTTCTCAAGTGTGAGGTCGGTTATCCTGCTTATACTGTCCATTCTAAACATTGCCCTGGGCCTTATCCAAGTTGCCTGTGTGATTTTTGAGCATAAGCAGTGAAGAGTGATCAGGTAGAAAGATGAAATGTTTTTACTGTGGTGCTGGAACAGTCACTTGTGCCCTTTGTCCTCAGTCCGCAATTCTGATAAGAGAATATCCTGTGACGAAGAATTCTCTGACTCTGAAGATGAAGGGGAAGGAGGCCGCAAAAATGTTGCCAACTTCAAGAAAGCTAAACGTGTGAAAACTGAAGAGGAAAAGGAGGAAGAGGAGAAGAAAGGAGGTAAGCATGAGAGCTAGGCCTGGAAGTCTTCCTAGCTTTAGGGGATGTTCTGGCATGCATATATCCTTGGTTTGCTCTTTTTCCCCCATGGCTTGGGATGTTTATCCTTTTTGAAGGACTGAGGGGAACTCTTTCTTTCTGATTCTTAATTTGGACTTAACAAAGTCAGTTCTAGTCTATCATCCTCTCTCCATTTTCATGTCCTATGTCCCTGCAGGCTATTTTCTTACTGTTGTACTACGTGTCTTTTTTTTTGTCTTTTTTTTTTTTTTTCAGATGAGAAAGAAGAGGAAAAAGCAAAAGAAGAGAAAGCAGAACCCAAAGGGTGAGCCCATATCCTGACATGGCAATTAGTAGCTATATTTCCTTATGTATCTGCCTGTGCCTTTGTTGGGATGTTGCCTAACTTGAGGGGATGGAGGCAAGAGACGGTAGTTTGGCTTTGTCGTCACTTTGAGTTGTAGAAGAGGCAACTGATAAAGCACTGCAAGAGCCCTCAAGGAGAAGGGCTTCATTATGGGCATTCATTCAGTAACATTTTGCATGTCAATGATGTGCAAGTTTCGGGTGAAGCTTGACATGGTAAGTGTTTTTAGGATAGACCATCTAGGCAGCATTGTTTATGTTGTGCCTCTAGCCTGTTGTTAAAGCTTTGGCAAAGCCCAAGCCCCTCCTGTTTGTCTAAAGCTAACTCTCCCCTGCTTGCTTTCACAGAGTGAAGGAAGAGACTAAATCTGCCTGAGATGGCTGCAGCTGGACAGTACCTATCAGTGCATAGTTGTCCTAGGTTAGCTTCTCTGGTTGCCTCCCATTCCACAGGATTTATATTTTATATATGTTTCTGTATATATTTCTATATAAATATATAAATGACTTGAGAACTGTAAATTATTCCTTGCTGCACTCCGCTGGGAGCAGATAGGGAGGATTCTGTGGAGCAGGCAGACCTGCACTGTCCAGAATTGGTGACTGGAGAGTTTCACTCTTGCCTTCCACTGCCTCCTTGGTGTGTCTTTAAAAAATCACTTCCTTTCTTTACTCTCTCCTCTGAAATAACCACCCTTGAAAAAGAATAATTTAAGTAGAAGTAGTGTCTCCATTTCAGGTTAGGTGGAAAGATGGCCATGAATTTTCTTGTTTGTTTGTGTGGTGGGAGATAGGAATTCCCAAATGAAGCCTGTGAGAGACTGACAATTCCTTTGGTCTTCAGTCTGATTCCACCGTGGCAAGTAACTGCAAGCTGGTGCCACTTCTCAGGGTCAAATAGTGCAGTTCTTGAATAGAGTTGGCTACCTCCCTGCAGCAAACTTGTGGAAAGAGATGAAGCAGCTTAAAAGCACATCTGAAAAGCGCTTTAGTAAATTAGCCCAAGAGCCCTCCAGGTGCAGATCTGGAACAAAACATGAAAATCACCCTAATGTGGTTTTCCTAATTTTCCATGATCTTGCAGATCCAGTTAGTGTGGCAGCATTATGCATTTAAACAGAAGGGATTAATTTTTTATGTATATTTTTTTTTTCCCTGTACCAGTGCCCCTCTTCGCAGGGGGGGAAGTGAGTTACTGCCCATTTGGCCTCCAACTTTGCTTTCCCTGCTTGTTCTGCCCTTGGCTACACTGCTCTAATGTGCTTTCTTAGTCCTGATCTGTGTCCTAGGCTAAAACCACTGCAGAAATTCCCAAGTCAGCTAAAGGCCAGACCGAGCAGAGCCCAGCTGAAACTTCCTGTTGATGTGTGTCACTAAATGAAAAATTCTCATCAAGTGAAGTACGAATGTTTTCAAATTGAACATTTTCCCTTTCTCTCTCGCTGTCAAGGCCAGTAAACATGCAGAACCTTTTTATCTGCAGCCTGAGCTGTTATCTTTACAAGGGAACAGAAGATGGGGCTCTGTGCATTTTTATAACTACTCCTCTTCCTACTCCCACACATTATCTCACCCCCAGAGGTTTTTTGTGACCAGAACTGGCCTTTTTTCTTGCATCTCTCTTTTTACAGCTGATTGCTAGGTGAGCTTTCTGTGAAGTGCTTTGCTGAGCTCCAGCTTTGCAGAAGTTTTGCAGGCAGTTTTGACTCGCTGCTCTCCTTTCTCAGGGGGATTCCTCTGTCTACAAGAGGATCTGTACCTCCCACGGAGCGCTGCTGATGGTTTCAACTCTAAAAATGCTGCTAACTTAACACAGGTTATTTTTTAAATGTTTTATTTTTTTAAATACTTTCTTCCCCTTTGCCACCGTGAGTTTTTTAGTCTCTTTGAATCCGAGTGACACGTCACTCCCTCTCTTCAGTGTTTGTATGTGAAGCGAGAGAGATCAGTGTATCTTTGTGTCTGGGGGGGGGAACATATTGTGGTTTTTTAAAGATGCTTTTATTTTGACTTTTGAGAATCTTTGTAATAAAACTGGTACATTTCTATGGTTGGTGTGAGTTTGTACTGATTTCTACTGAAAGGAAACATCAGCTTAGAGTGGGAGTCCCGGTTGCTTTCAGTCATTGATGGTTCCTTTTGTAGACTTTTTTTCCCTCCACTTGATTAAAAAAAAAAAAAAAAAAAAAAAAAGCCTTAAATTTCTCCGTATTACCCTTCTCTGTGGGAAAGGTAAGTGGAAATGCCGTGGGTTTGGTTTGCTCACACCTCTTCCCTTAAGGATCACAGGATCAAACTTTCCTCCTTCACATCCAGCAGTAGTGCTGATGCTCCTGGGTTTGTGGTTTGCACGGCTTTGTGCAGCTGCCTCTTGCTGTGGAAGCAATGTTAATCTGGAAAAGGAATAATTAGTTATGGGATGGGAACAGTTTTAGGTGAATTTAAGCCCTTTTTATGTGGTATTGAAGTGAAAAGAGTATTAACTGAAAGAAGGAGCAGGTTACTGTTGCTGTGCTGGAAGTGAGTGCTGATCCTGAGCTGAAATGCACATTGAAGGTTCACAGGCCCAATCTTCTGTTGCTGCTGTTAAAGAAAAGCCCGGCACGCCACAGTTGCCTTCCATCACTGCACTAACCCTCCAGCGCCCTTCCTTGTTCTCCTTCGCACAGCAAACAATGAAAATCCCCCTTTCTTTCACCACGCGGAAGCGTAGCATTCCCGTTTACCCCGTGCTCCCGCAGTCCTTCTCGGCGCCGCAGCGTTTCTAAAATGGCTGCCGCGAGGCTGCTCGGGAGCGAATCCCGCCGCTCCCGCGCGCGGATGCGCGGAGCCGCCGGCACCCGGACCTTTGGAACGCGCCGGGGCAAAGACCGGCCCTGCACCTTCCATCACCACCTTGGCATGCAAGGCGTGAAACGAGGAGCCGGGCTGCTTCCCTCTCCCTCCAGGGTCTTTTTTCCCTGCTCCGGGGCCGCGGTGCTGCTGCTGGGCCCAGCTTTTCCCTGCCCGCTCCAAGAGCTGAGGCGGGTGATCCATGAGGGAATGGGAAGTAGGCCACCCCCTGAAAGGGGCTGTGAGCTCAGGCTCGTCAATGAGCCAGTAGCAAGAGCTCTCAATGAGGCTGTAACCTTCATGCTGGAGCTGGTGCTCCCCGTTTATGGGGTCCCCATCTTCCTTTGCCTACATTTTTTCCCCCTTGGACATGAATCTTCCCTCCCTATGCTTACAAAGATATAAATACCATAATTACAATCCAGTTTCTCTCTGTAAGAGAGAAAAACAGATTTGAGGCCGAGGCTTTTTCATGAAGAAATTAAGCATCTAAAACAAATAAATAGTCCCCCACCACCCTGAGAACTGGAACCTCCATGAACTCCCTGAAGCCTTTGGGGTGCAGAGCAGCCTCCTCTTCTCCCCCCCAGCAGAAATTTGGGCAAGTTTCTAAGAAAACTGCCCTGCAGAGCAGCTAGATCAACAGGGCTCGTAGGCAGCGGCAAGAGGCTCGTGTGAGAAAGTCCTTTGTGGCTGGGGCTCTACAGCTGCTGCAAGTCAATTAAGTGGGAGCAGAGCTGGAGCTGCAGTGATTAAATGCAGCAGCTGGTGAACTAAATCAGCAACTGCTCTGGGCCCTGCTTCAGCATCCGGGACAAGAAGGACTCGCGCGCACCTATAAAGGGGTCACCATTTATTCCTTTCAAATGTTACAATAAAACCCATACAGCTTTTTTTTTTTCTTTTAGAAGTTAGAAAATTGGAAATCAAGTGTTTTGGCCATTAAAAAATTATTTACAGAGAAAAAACAACATTGCTTCACATTGTACAGCTGGCACACCCTCTTCCCCCCACCCCAAAAGTTATCCCTCAGAAGCAGAATTAAACACAGCGGACTTACAAGCTTTATGGGTTTAAGCCAATAGTAAGACATTATAAAAAACCTAACCAGATTAGCTTTTAAACCATTGGTTTCTATAAAAAGCACAAAATACTTTAAATGAAGTCAGAACCAGGAATGTGAACTGAGAAAAGGAATCCACTGAACAGTCACTGGCTTGTGCTGGGCTTCAAGGGCTGCTTGACCACGCGGGGCACAGTCCTGATGCCAGCAGAGATACCAGAGCACGATGTAAAAATCTGGGTTCTTAGAAACTGTAAATTCCAGTTATGTCCAGGATAGTCTTCCTCCACAGTTTTAAAGGATTCAGGTAAAATTACCCCAAGTGGTGGCGGTGGTGGAATCCAGATCCATTTTCTAAGGGGAGAAGGGACAAAATAACTCAGGAGGGGCAGTTTTAGAGCGTGCTTGTCAGGTCTATGCTGAAGACATAAGGTGGGTGGGCAAGGCGGCGAGGCTGGGGCCTTACTAGGATGGAGAGGATGGCTCAAGAGTCTGGAGTTAGGAGCAGCCCAAGCGGCTTCTACTCCTCCTGCTGCTGCTTGGCCGCTGCCGGCTCCGCTGCCCCCGGGTTCGAGGGCTCCTCGGCCTTGGCCGCGTCCCCCGCGGGCTGCTGCTGTTGCTCCTGCTCCTCCGCGGCATCCCCGTCTCCGGCCTCCTGCCCCTCGGCTTCCTGCTGCCCAGCGGCAGCGCCGCCGCTCACGCCCTTCTCCTCCGCGCTCCCCTCTGCCCGGGGGGCCGCGGGCTCCGCGGGGCTCTCCTCGCCCTGGGCGCCCGCCTGGTCTGGCTCCTCGCCAGGGGAGGACGCGGACGAGTCCCCGGCTTCTCTCTTGTTCTTCCTGAACGAGATGCCGCTCAGCTTGAAGGACTTCTTGAACGAGAACTTCTTCTTCTTCTTGGCGTCCTTGGGGGCCGCAGCGCCGTCCGCCTTGGCCTCCTCGGCGCTGGTGCCGGCGGGCGCGGGCTCGATGGCGTCCCCCCCGCCCCCCCCGCCCGTGCTTTCCTGCACGGGGGGCTCTGCGGCGCCGTTGCCGTTCGGGGGCGCAGCCTCGACGGCCGCCTTGGGCGTCATGTCCCCATTGAGCCGCACGTGGCCGTTCTCCTGTGGGGAGCCCAGCACCGCGTTAGGCACCGAAATCCAGCCCCCCCCACCGCAAAAACAGCCCCCCAACCTGCCCCCCCACCCTTCTGCAGCAAGGGAGGATGGGGAGAGGAGCCCCCGCCTGCGCACAGGGCAGCGCCGGGGAGCACCGGACGGACCGGGGGCTGCACGAGGGAACCGCACCGGGCTGCACGAGGCGGGGGTGGGCAGGCCCCGGGGACGGCGGCGCCACCGCGCTCGGAGCCGCCACCGCGCTCGGAGCCGCCCCCGCCGTTACCGCCGCCCTTTACCCCCCGCGCGTCCCCCTGCCCTCGGTGCCTACCTGCCCGTTGGCCTTGGCGGGCTCGGCGGGCTGGGCGCTGCCGTCGCCGCGGGCCGCTTTGGAGCCCTGGCTGCCCATGGTGCGGCCCGTGGGCGCGGAGCGCGCGGCCCCGGCGCAGCGCTCGGCGGGGCGGGCGGCGAGAAGCGGCGGGCAGAGCCCCCCGCCCGCAACGTTATAAGGCGTGGGGCG